TTTGAATCTAAAAACCCATTAAAGTTTAATTTCACAAATTGCAACTGAAGCCAAAGTTGTTTAAAAATCTGTGGTAGATCAGCAAATATGGCCTCTACCATTCATCATTCTTTTCAAATGATGGATTTAAATTAAGAGAGCATAAAGCCAAACTCTCATGGAATTTGAAGGACATTTCATGTCCACTTCTAATATAATCCATCACTTTTCTTATTTGTAAAATAGAAATGCCTAAAATACTTAAAGGAAAAGTCTTAAAAATGTGATTTTACTTGAATTTAGAACTACACTTGCCACATGCTGCTGATGTTACTTGTGATGACTGTGCTGAAACTTCAGCAGTGCTGAGACCCAAAGTCAAAACGGGATTATGAGAACAACAGGCTGTGTCAGAAAGATTTAATATATTATTCATGGAACAGACAGGGAATGCAGAGAAGAATTTAAGGAAGGGAAAATAATCTGCTCACAATGCATTTTTTTGTATCATGTTCTTTGGGTAACAAGAATCCTGGGATTCAAGACCAGAAGGTGTCTGTGCATGAACAGATCATCTTCAGATCAATACAGAAACACAAAGCCTTGGACAATCAATTATACATTAAATTATACAATTTAATTATACATTAAATTAATGTGGTAAACTCGGGTGCCTCTGCCTTGGACAAAAATATCTCCCAGATGATATCACAATGATATCTCAAATCATAAAAGTTCTTTTATTTGTTTTCTTCTGCAAACTAGTAATAAACCCTGCGACTTAAATACATTCATGAGACAAATTTTTTCTGTGCTTTATCTTACTCCAGAAAAGTTCTTTTTAATTAATTTATTTAAGGTGAAAACTAGATATATGAAAAAATGACAGCAGTCATAAATTCCTTTACTGGATGTAAAAGGTTTGTTTGACAAAGTCCCTTATCTCTATCCTCCAATAATAATTATCCCAAAGGATCAATATCATGGATTCTGAGTTTTAAAAATATGTCTAGAATTGGGTTCCTGTACCCAACACACAAAAGTAGGCCCCTGTTAATTTTGATAAGCTCTCCATAGTGGCACTGGTGTCAATAGGAGCTGAAGCATTTAATATCTCTGGAAAATATGTTTCCTTCAGCTGCACCAATATCTCCATAAAAATAAATAAAAGTCCATAAGGAAATGAGGGTTGGAGAATTTGCCCTTACTAGGTGAAGCCTACAGAATAAGCTTCATTAATAAACTTGTCCAACTTCAAATGTACTGATAGCAAACACAGCCATTTAACTTCACATTTCAAAAGCACATAAAGGACAGTATGAACATTATTTTCAAGTGCATTTTTGTTCTATAGCACTACAAAACAGGAAATAAAAGGAAAAATGTGACAGCTGCAATAGATGTGATTAATCAGTGACAACCATCAAACAATGTGTGGAGGACACAGACAGGCTGCACTTCAAACTAAAATTCCACAAAACACCACAATCTGCACTATATCTGCATCCCAAACCTCTCCAAAGCTAACACATGACATTAATCATCCTTGGCCATCCACTATAACCTGATGACTTTGCAGAGTTTGAATTCTGGTGCACTGAAGACTTAAATATAATAAAAATAAAAAATAGGCTGCAGCAGCAAAAATACCAGAGGCCAAAAGAATAAATAAAGTACAGTGACTCCACAGCCCAGAACAAAAAACCCTGCTAAATGGGCCAAATAGTGGCCTCCACTATATGTGCATGTATTTTTCATTAAAAACTCATTAAAAATGAGTTCACATAAGTTTTCTGTGCAAGACAATGGAGTTGAAGTAGAGCAGATGAAAATGTCCCATAAAAATATCTCAAAGCACTTCATGTACATGGGCTTGTCACAAGGAGTTGACTTGCAAGGCACATAATTGATAATTAACATTGCTATCCTATAGATGTTGAAAATGGGATGCCTCATAAGGTTTTAAGCCTGAAATTTTGGTACTCTTGATTAAATCTGGTGTGAGCAGTCTCATTAGTGTAATGCTTAATTATAGTCAAAATCAGAAAGGTATCATGTATATGAGAAGAATTAACCTTAAATTACACAAGAAACAAGGTGGTATTTAAATTTAAAAACTTCTTTATCTATGAGACCATCTTAACTGTTCGAAAAGGCCATCATGAGATTATCACACAAATCCTGAAAATTACTTTCAGTGCATTTTTAATAAAATACATGGACTGGGGTTGAAACAGCTACATTATTTTCCTTTTTTTGCTCCTCTTAATTCTCAGTACTTTACAGGAAAAATAGGCCAAAATACTGTGAATACTATAAAAGTATGATTTGCATTTTTATGCACTTGGCTGTAGCAGACTGCAAATGGAACACAAGATTTCAGCCCATTATACACTTTGATCAATTCTCAGTCTCAGGCACAAAATATCAGCTTGAGACAAAATTCACTGGGCAAACAAAAGATCTATTGAAAAATTCCCTGTCCACAATGTGGATTTAAGCACAATTTCAGCAGCATGACAGGCCTTAGGTGAGCCTCCTGCACAGAGCTGGAATTTGCCTATAATAGTAAGAAAAAATCACCTTTAAAGTCTGTGAAAATGTGAGACAGAGGTGGAAATGGAGCTGGAGCTGAAAAAAAGCTTCCAGTGTCTTATCTTTGCACGTTTGGCAGAGAGATTTAGTACATGCATAGAAATTTGGCTTTGCTTGCCTAAGATAGACCCACTTTTTTCATGCTGGTTTTTGTTTCAAGGTGGAAAAGGTAATTTACTCCTTTTTTCAAAGCAAGGGAACTTCAGTTGTATTTAAAAAAAAAAAAAGTCACAAAGAATCTATCTGGTTTATAGATTAGAAAGGAGATTGGATTTTCTTGAAACACTTGAAATTATTACACATAGAGCTTTGCTTCAGATCCTTCTTTCTGGGAATTATAATGGCTGCTGCCAAAACCAAATCTGTTTAACTGGTTAAGCTAAGAACCTAAATCAGTGCAAATGAGATCAGTTTATCAGGGTTTAATAGCTATAACACAGACAGAGAAATAAAGAAATAAAAACAAACCCCTTCTCTTGAAACACAATCTTCCTCCCACCTTCATTCGGATGCATAGCCAAAATACTTTTCATTTTTTAACTCAGGAAACATTGTGGGCCTCATGTTAAATGGGCAGTGCTTCTTCCAGATCCCTTTTTTTTGAAGTCCATGAGGAGCTCTGGTCCAAACTGGGTAACTTCCCCACATTATTATGGCTGCTCCACAGAATATTGAGGAAAGGTCAAATCCTGGAAGATCTGCTTTGGAATACAAATCCCATTTGCTTGGCAGTGAAAAAATGGCATTTTTAAGCAATACTGGGTGAAATTTAATTTCTCAAAATGCTGTAGGTGACCCTGCCTTGGCAAGGGGGCTGAATTAAAGATCTCTAGAGGTCTTTTCCAGCCTACACAATTCGGTGATTTTGTAATTCTGCTAAAGAGTGTGACACAAAACCACCCTGTGACAACTTGAAAAGAGCTGGGGACAGCCAAGAATTGAATGCCATTGGAAAAAGGAACAGATTTATCTGTTCTCTGTTCCTAGGGGTTTTCTGTGCCCTCACCAGAGGGAAAATCAACATTTGGATCCAGGTCTGGATGAGGGCATGGGCAGAAGCTGAGGGTGAGACACACTCCATGAGTGGGTAAAAAGAAATGGTGAAGAGATCAAGAAAGGAGGAATAAAATGGAGTCAAGATAAAAATGAAGGACTGAAAAGGAAGGCAAAACCAGAATAATCCTCTCTGTACCATGGAGTGACAGAACTTGGAAAAAGGGGTGAGAAAAATGGGATATAAAGGAGAAAGCACATTGCTGTTAAAGAGATTGGTTGGAAAAGATGGTTCTTTTGTGCTCATTTCAGTGTTTGGAAAGGCTTCAATTGCTCTGCATGTCTATCTGATACAAAATCTTGCTTTTAGCACTCACTGCTTCTTTTTTTTCTGATCTACCCAGCAAAAAAAACCAAAACAAAAACAACAACAACAACAAAAACAAAAACAAAAAAAGGAGGAGGGAGTTTGTTTATTTTCAGTCAGAGCACAAAGTAAAGCAGTGCTGGCAATCTCACATCTCACACCATCAGTACAGCCCAGTGAGAGGACAGCTACTGGCTGAGTCCACTATGGGACTCCTTTCCTTACAATTTCCTTGTCCAAGCCAGCTTGGCTGCATGAGGAAGTACTTGGTTACAGTTTGGGATCACATTCCAGAGCCTCATAACTCAGACTATATGGTATATTTTCAATATCAATGCCATACCCAAGCCAAGGGTTTTGCACACACTGCAGCCTCCAGCAGGTCTGAACACCACCAGATTATTCAGTAACTGATGCCTCTCATTTTCTTCACCAAGCTCTCAGTGCTGCTTTGCTTTTCTAATGGTGATGATTCACCCTTGAAGATGAGGTAGAAATCCATGGAAAAGTGCAGCTTTCCATGGGTAGGGAATTTGGCCTTCCAGGTCCCAATTTTGGAGAACACCCTGCACAAAGACAGAGCCCTTGAAGTGCACAGGGCAGGGCAACAAAGGTGCTTTCAAGCAAAGGTGAGTGCTGCTCTCTTAGAAGCTTAAGCACTTTAGATTCTTAAGCAAGTCAGGCCTGTAAATGACTGTGGCTCTGCTGGGAAATTCTATATGATTTTTTTGTTAAATTAATTTAAGATTATGGTAAACATTTAAGCCCAAACCATTTTTCAAGTCCAGTGCTTCAGTTTGGCAAGAGGGTTCATTCTGAATCTTGTGACTGAACTGGAGCATCTTCCTTTTTCCTTTTCATCTTTACCCTTTCCTATCCCCACCCTTTTCCCCCAACAGCCTCCAGGCAGATAATTTTGGGGATTATTTTAGGTTTGGATTGATTGATTTTAGATTTTAGTTTGCTTTTCCCTCTCTGCCTTAACCACATTGTAAGTGGTAGATGAATCTTGTCCAGAAACTTTGTCACACTTTCATATTTATATTAAACTTGTTTTTTCTTATAGTTTTGCTGGTGATTCAACCCAAAAATAGAGCCAAGCAAAGAAACAAGCAGTGCTCCAAAGGCTTGCCAGGTTAAGAAAAATAACTTGTGAAGAAATAGATGACTTTAGAAAAGAAAAGCCACAAGGTAAGGCTTTAGAATCTTCTTTTTTTCTATCTTCCAAAGTAACAAGGTAGGCATTTCAGACAAACACTTAAGGAGTGGTTTTTATTTGTTGCCAGAATTTTAACACACCCCCAAAAAAGTTAGATTAACAGAAAAAAAAATTATATCAATGAAAGATGTGAAGGTGTCCTGAGGCTAGAAATTGCGGGAAAATAGTTTCAGATCAAATATTTTCTTTTGCAGGAAATACTTCCTTCTTGCTTCATCTCAAGTTTAAGCAAATAAAAATTTATGCATTTTGACTTCACCACAAATACATTTAGTATTTAGTTCCCAAATAAAGGAATTCAACAGGTCTGAGGCACATGATTCAGGCAAATTTTTTTGCTTCAGGCAAAATTTGCATTGCTGCAGTAGGAAAGATGTGTTCTCCAAAGGGTTATTAATTTTTCTCATTACACTGATTCAACTCCTCCAGCTTTGAAAACAGGAATCTAGAATTAAGTGAAAGTATGAGTTGCTTTTAGTCAGTATTAATGCCTCAACATGTTTGTGATTTCAAACTCACAGAATATCTCCCCTGGCTGATTTTAAACATGAAAGTATTTTATAATGTTAGTCATATTCATGTCTATTAAGAATATTAAGAAATTGAAGTTGAATATTAATCCAAATTCTCATTTCTGTTACACACCCATTGAGAAATTCTGCCATCCAATCTGCCAAATAATTCCTAAGAAAAGCTAGCATCCACACAACAGCTGTTTAACACTTCTTAATAGCATTTTTTCTGTGCTTTAAGGAAGGAGTTCAAAGCTGTCCTCCCCACAGCAGAACAATTAAAAACATGTCAAACATTGACTTCAATCATTAATCCAGGAAAGGTAGTAAATTTAAACCTCATTAGTGTCTTTCTCCTGTCAGTGCTTCCACTGGATTACTCTTTAAGTAAAAGCAGTTTGGTCTCATCCTTTTGGCTTCTGTCACTTTGAACCTTTTTAAAATAAATAGGTATTTTATGCAGAAAAAATACTATATTTGCTTTGAAAAGAACAGCTGTTTACATGCAATTATGTGTAGATATTCCAAGTTAATATTTGACAAGGACAAAAATAAATGTACTCGAGTGAGCCAATCAAACTTTTGGCTGTTCATGCATTTCAGAACTGTAAACAAATCATATAAGTAACACCTGGCTTGTGGCAAATCTGAAAAGATAAATAGGCAAACAGGTAAAAAAGAGAAATCTATGAGTGAAGAAATTTTGAATTACACATTCTAAAAAATCAACTACAAAAAGCATTAAGGAAAAAATCCAGCGTATTTTTTTTGAAGATGACTTTATTGCACAAGCTCAAATCCAAACTCGAATTATTCCATGTGCTATTGGGGAAGATGTTAATTGAGGTTTGTATCTATTAACATATGCAATTAGCTCTGTTCAGCTCCCCTGACAGAGGCAGTGGGTGTCATTTGAGATGTCCAGAGGATCTAAGATGTTACCAGGAGTGTGGCAGATGTGAGACAAGACCTCAGGACACCCTTTTGACCTGGCACCTGGAGCCAGGTGGGTCCCCAGAGCCTCTCAAGTGGCATCAGACATTTGGGAAAACTGGATTGTGCCACCAAGCTCTGAAATTTCACTTTGATAAAGATTACAGGAAAGATAAAGTTCCCTCTTTGGGTATTGCAACAATAGGGGAAAAAAAGCCAACAAACCCCACGAGAATGTCAATTCAAACAGTTCAGAATTTTGTTTGAAGTCTGCTTCTTTGAAGTCTTTGGGGTTGGGATTGCCAGAGATCCACTTTTAGCCCTACAGGGTAATGGCTTTCTCTTAAGGCAGTGGCAGGGCCATCCCAAGAGAATTAGAACTCAGTGTATCAGGTATCTGTGGGAATGCCCAGGTATCTCCCTGGGGGGCAGTTTTACCCTGGTGGAAAGCCTCAGGTGGGGCAGCTTTGGGGATCTTTCATCATTTATGTTCCACAGTTTTCTACAATGTGCCAAGTCCTTCAGTGATTTTAACAACGTTTGAGCCATTAACTGTTTCAGTATCTCACAGTGTTTCAGGGAAATTGCCACATAACTGAGCCAGTGTTGGCTGTTCCCAACACTCCTGCAGTGGCCATATCTCCTCAACATGTCACATACCCTTGGCATGAGCAAACAGAATCCATATGTGAAAATGATGACTTCACATCCAAGCAGCCTGTCATTTCTACAGGCATCAGGCCTATGACTTCATCCTTCCTCTCTGACATTGGCAGGGCACCAGAAGTCCAAAATATGAAACACTCCTCTGAAATAAAATACCACTCAAATGGTCTCTTTATGGCTTAAAAGAAAAAACAGAATATGCAAAGCAGAAACAAATGGGACATTCATGCTTCTGTCCAATGGCATAGCTCCTTTATTCACCAAGCTTACTAGGAATCTTGTCCAATTCTGCAAATATTATGAATATTGAATTCCAGATCAGCCAGGTAAGAGTTTTTTTGTATTAAAATAAATGTGCACTTGTATGTCATTTGGACATCTCTGACAGATACAAATGAGGCATTAATAAAGTGCTTCTCATGCTCAGATTTAAGCAATGACATTTACAGGTGTAAGAATTCAAAGTTTTGACATGAAAAAGCACATTGTTAACATGAAGGAAAAGTACATCCACACACGAATTTCAGCAAGGTTTTCTGCACTAATGACCTAAACACACTAATATTAGCACAAGTGATGTAGTGTTAGGTTTCCACCAGGATAAACGTGACAGAATGGGCAAAACCTCACTGAATGCCACGAGGACATTGCTCAAATCGTGTTTCTAATCTGTGAGGACATTACATCATGAGTCACTCAAAGGAAAGGGCAGAGTTTCCTACCAAATCCATTACAAGAAGAAAGTGACATTTAGAAGGCAGAATATGTGAATTGTATCTCACAGGTAGAATTCTTTTTGTTCTCGTGAGAATTCTTTCCTTTCAATAAAAGACAAAAATCCAGAATTCTGTCCCACTAGGTGAAAATTATTAAGCTTGGTTCTTAAAGGTATAGGGCATCTAAATAGAAGAATCACTGGCAAAATGTGATCTCCTCATAGGTAATTCATGGAAGGGAGGTTTTCTGGGTTTGTTTTCACTGTTGTTTAAGTACAGCTTGTACCCTCCAGTGCATCTGAACAGCAAACCCTGTAACAGTGTGAAAAATGCTGTAAGGATGATGCCAGGCCAGCATTGGAAAGATTCCCCACAGATCACCTTTTATTTACATGGACCAAACACCTCTGGCATCACTGAGAGACAAATGGAAGTTGGACCTTGTAAGGATGATAAAAAATGTGTGTCCTGTTCTAAGCATTTCAGCACTTACAAGATTTTATAAACAGAGTGAGTTGGAGTTTTAAAAACACTATTCCACTTCAGCACATTACTTCCTATCTCCATTTCCAATGTGAGATGCACATTTCCAAGTTCACACTCTCCGAGTGCAAATTGTTGCACTCTGGCCAAGTTTGCCACTGTTATGTTTTAAAAACACCAAAATAATTGCAGAGGATGGAGACAAACGTGATCATGTCAATTTTGTTGTGGCTTTAAATGCTCAAACCAAGCACTGTAGAGAAGATAATCAAAAGTTTATTGAAACCCAGAGCATCCTTTTCTGTGCATTCATTGTCCACATCCTGCTCCATGGTATTGGGAGATGAAAAGAATGCCAAAAGCAGGATGACAACTTCAGTGCTGAGCACGAGGATGAAAAATTCACCTGACTCCTGTTCGTTAAACAAGGATTTAAGAGATCAAGACAGCAGCAATCTGGTATCTACAGAGCACCAGCTATTCCCTTCCCCAGAGAATATCCATCTATTTGAAAAGTGGCTCCACAGAACAAGTGGTGGGCCCTTAGATCTAAAGGATCAGCCAGACATCCATAGTTTGGCTTTGGTTCACAGCAACTGGGAGATTTATCTGAGATTTAACACTGTGGTGCTCACCATAACAAGTTCTCTACTAAAAATTGCATTTAAACATCTTGGAACAATGAAAAATAACAGCCCATCCATCCTACCCCACTGCTCAGCCATGTCTTTGTGCCAAATCTTAGTTTAGTTTTGCCTCAGTGCCTTCCCAAGATGTCAGGACTCATTGGGGTCAGAATAAAGAACTTACAAATTGGAAAGGGTGGTTTCCCTGCATGCCAGCAACATCCTGGAGCTGTATCAAGCTGTACAGGAAACAAGGATGGCACTGGGACTTTGTTCCCACTTGGAACTTCATCATTTCCTGACTTTTGGCTTGGGATGTAGACAATTTAAGCAGCCCTGGCTTCCCTGCACCCCAGGAGCAGGCGCCAGTGCTCTGCCTGCTCTGGGGCTGGGACAGTCTGAGGGAAGGGATGAGGGAGCCCCAGGGGAGGGAGCAGCTTTGGTTTCTTTGGCCTTGATAGAGCTCTCCAAACCTACATGATTTAGCCATAACCCAGAGATTTTCTGTGGCAGATGCTTCAATTGAGGCCTCTGTTACGAGGAGGATCTCTGTGGTGTTCCCAGGAACAAAGCTGAGGCTGACAGCTCAGTAGTTCCCGGGGTCTCCTCCTTTCCACCCTTTAAAAAGATGTTTCCCTTTTCCCAGTCACCTGAGGCTTCACTTGACTGCCAGGACTTTTCAAATATCATGAACCTACAAGAAAGATGAAGAGGGGCTTTTTGCAAGGGACAGGACAAGGGGGAATGGCTTAAAAAATGGAAGAGTAGGTTTAGGTGAGATGGTAGCAGGAAATTCCTCTCTCTGAGGATGGTGAGGTCCTAGCACAGGGTGCCCAGGGAAGCTGTAGCTGCCCCACCCCTGGAAGTGCTTAAATCCCCACCCCTGGAAGTGCTTAGATCCAGGGTGAATGATGCTCTGGGCAACCTGAGATAGTGGAAAGTGGGACTGGATGATCTTTATGGTCCTTTCCAACCCA